CCCCCTTCCTTTTAGACTGACATTTTCTTCATTTTTTGTCTGTAGCCATAATTCACTGATATAGCAGATTAAGGCTTTCTAAAATTGCAGTTGCTTAAATTAATCATTAGTTAAAATAAAGACAATGCATTTTGCACCAAAAGAACATACTTTTAGCCACCAAAAATCCCAAACTGTGTCGACATTTTTTTTTAAAATAAAAAAAATCAAAAAAATCCGATTTGAATAAAAAAAATCTGATTTAAATAAAAAAAATCGATTTTTTTTATTTTTATCAAAAAAATCACCAACCCTGCAGTTACTTGACGTCGAAAGAGTTGATATTAAGGCTCCTCGTTCGTACGTACGTATCTTAAAGTAATTAATGAAAGGGTAAAGCGAAAAACAGGATATACAACCCAACCCAAATACTAGCTCTTAATTTATTAAAATAAATGTGTTATCCTATGAAATCAATCAAGAGGATGAAAACCAACTAATTAATTCACAAAGTTTCATAATATAAAAGCAAATCAAGTTAAGAACAAGTCAAGTCCTTTGGAGACACCCCCCCCCCCCCAAATCACACACACACATTTAAGTGGTTTTGCGGCACTTGCAACACAAGGGCATATTACAGCCAAAGATTAGGTGTTACAAGCGTAACAAACACAAAAAAGAGGAGAAGGGATAAGGACGACAGATGTTTGATAGGAAAGAAGGAACAAAATTCCACACCAGAGCAGCTGCCAACCACCACCCAATGGAACCGTGTTAACAAAAATCACTTTCACTTTAAGTCCGTTTTATAAACGGCTATAGCTGTCCGGCTCTTGAGACGAAAGGTGGAATTGTCATCGTGGAGAATACGCCAAAAGACGGATCAAATCAACAATACCATCCATGAAAAGAAACGTATGTGTACATTTAGGAAGGCCGAGTTGCGTAATCATCTACAAAGAAACCGGCGTTAGTGTTCGGTCCAAGCAGCCTGTCTGTCTGACACATTTCTAGAACTTAAAACTGTACCGACGATCACGTGGCTGACTGTTCGGTTCGGCAAGAGGAGGACAGTGACAGACTCAAAGGAGCATTTTTAAAAGTTTAGTTTTAGTAGAGGTTTTACGGCGCTCGCAACGGCATAAGGTCACATGTGCGCCAGAAGATTAGAGGCGTTATAAGAGAGTAACAAACATTAAAAGGGTAGTATAGGAAAGAAAGAGCACACCATACCAGAGCACCCGCCAACTACCCATTGATAAAAGCATGATTGTTCCCCGGTTTTAATCTCCAGCACCTATATTGTGACCTATTTGTGTTAAAATGGCTGTTTAACTCTTTCATTTTGTTCCCTCTTTTTTGTGTGTGTATGTGTGTGAGAGAGTGTTTGTGTGTGTATGCATGTGTAAGTGTGAGTGTGTCTGTGTGTAGTAGTAAGTGTGTAAGTGGAGAGTGAGGAGTGTGTGTGTGTGTTTTTTTTTTGCTTTACTTTATTTCAGCCTTTATTTTATTATTTTATTATTTGAAACATTTAAAAATACAAAAATAGATACACAGGATCCATTCACTCCAGGGCTCATGAGTTGTCCCTCTCTTTCACTCATTCCATTCACTTCCCGTGTTCTCTTTCATTCTACCGCCTGCGGTAAGCAATTCTTGAACTTTTGGAGGAAATGATGGGGCAGCTTCGGAAATTCCGTTGCCTTATCTATTACTAATACAGTGTATGTGTACATAACAGCAATATCGAAGGGCACGTGGTGATTGACGAGCAGATGCACATGACTGATTCGTCATTATACAGGTAAACAGAGATAAGAACGCTTATACTAATATTAATGTGTATCAAAATAAGTTTTAGTAAGAGTATTATGGCACTTTTAACGCAATAAGGTCTTAAGTGCCGAAGATTAGAGGTCTTACAAGACAGTAACCAACACCAAGAAGAAGGAGGGGGAGATAACGGACGATAGATGTGAGATGGGAACGAAAGAGCACCCACCAGAAAGATGGGAAACCACAAGAGAGCACCCACCAACCACCCTCGTATTAAACATAATATTATGTGATAACGGCCGATACTGTGTAATTGTGCACCCGCATGCTATTAGTATGCATGTACATAACCGCCCTCCCCCCCCCCACCCCCAAATCCCAAAACAAACTAAAAATTGTAATGTTTCATGGGAGCCACGAGACAACTTTCTGCGTAACGAATCGGAAGAGTCACATGGCGATCGACAGCACGACTCCGAGAGGCTGTCAGCAAACGGGTGATGATGACGAAACCTCAACACACTTCATTAGATTCATTACACGACATACACACACAGACACACACTATATCCACACACATACATACCAACAGTTAGATGACCATAGGTAAGCAAAATTAACGTCGACCACTTTGGCCCCGCGAAATGGCTTTGCAGATCTTAGATTAAAAACTAGGAAGAAAGCACGCGTACACACACACACAAACACATGTACAAACACACACACACACACAAACACACACACACACTATAATCACACACATACCAACAGTCAGATGACCCTAGGTATGCAAAGGTTAAACCGACCATAGACTTTGCTCCATGCAACGGCTTTAAAGATCTTAGATTAAAAACTAAGAAAACTGCACGCGTGCACACACACACAAACACACACTTGTAAACTGGCAAACAAAGAGAAAGAAAGAGTACGTCACAAGACTTTAATTATCCTTGTCCGCTGCAGGTAAGGACGTAATATTGCAACACAAAAGGTTACCACACAGAAACTCTCACGTTTAGTTGAGGGAGAGGAGAAAATGAGAAGACAATCGAGCCTGAGGGAAATCATTTTTTACTTTATATAATAAAACATTTCAATAATATTTCCCCCCTTTTTTCG